GGTTTTCGTCGCTTGGCAACGACGTTGTAAAACAAGCCGCCCCCCCCGGTGTTTGCCATCGGGGTTTGGGTTTTCGTCGCTTGGCAACGACGTTGTAAAACAAGCCGCCCCCCCGGTGTTTGCCATCGGGATTGGGTTTTCGTCGCTTGGCAACGACATTGTAAAACAAGCCAATTCACTTCGTGAACTCGGCAACCAGGTTACCGTTTTTTTTTTTTGACCTCGTTTTTATTTTTGGCGGTAACCATAATGGTGGTCGAGTAGATCATGTTGTGCGGGGTCGAGAAGCCTCACTCCGCGCAACGGGGGATGATCGCACCACGTTGTGTTAAAATGGTCAAGCTTCCTCGAGGCAGTTACACAGTGCTTACAACTGTCTCTGGAAGTGAAAGCACCAGAAAATAAATTAAGTCATACGTAGCTGTCATCCGTACGCAAGGAAGTAAGCACAAGATGCCGAACACCCTTAGCAGGATTGCAGCTCACCCTTCATGCGACTCGCCAAATACCTCACGGCGCTTCGCGCTTGGTGATGTGAGAGCCTGGTCCGGTGAGAACCCGGCGTGCTCCGTCCCGGCTTTGTAGGGATGCGAGGTCAATGGTCTAATGACTACGGCATGCACGACTATGAGTACACCCCCCCCCCCCCCACCGCCGCCCATCCATCCACCTACCGTAGGTGTGACATAAGACATGTCACCCCTTGGGGGCCGATTTTCAAAGCTCAACGACGAAGAGGATGAATACAATATACATCAAAAGGCACCTTATCCGAAAGCTCTCTCTCCACGAGACGGTTTCGACGCCGCCACTGGAACTCTTTCCTGCCGTGAAGTACAGTACGCAATCGAGCTCAGTCCGGGGTGTGCGATGTCTCATGTCGCCTACGGTAAAGGGGACATAGCCTACTGACCTTCGACCGCGCTCTCGAGGAAGTCGAGGCACATCCACGTGCTCGGGTGTTCCCCGTCGCCCCACCCCTGCCCCTCCAGCAGCTTGACGCTGCGGAGCCCCCTCGAGCTCGGGACCTGCTCTTCCCGCCGCTGCACGGCCGATATCTGGAGCCTCCGCATAGTGACGGTGTCGAATCCTTCCGACGACCGAGTGGCCTCCCACTGGTCGAAGCACTCCGCCGGCCCTTCCTCCCAATCCAAGGAGCCTGCTCGTTTGCGCGCGCGCGTGTGTGTGTGCGTGTTTTTTTTTGTTTTTTTTTTCGCACGGGAAGGAGGGGGAGATCGCGACGTGGGGTGGACGGGTGTGGGGTGTCAGGCAGGCCTCTTCCGTCGTGCGGGCAACAGAGACGACGACGCTCGAAAACACACGAAATGTCTCGGCGTTGTAACTGCTGATGACGATTCTCCGCTTCGCGTTTCCTGCCTTCCCTCGACGTCTCGTCCGCCTGCTGTACCCCTCCCACCCCCGTGGTTGTTGCCGTGTCCGTGTCGTTGTCGGGCTTCTTGTTTCGTTTGAGCGCTCGTTGTCGGCTAGCCTCCTCTTCCTTCTTGTGCCAGGGGGCCATGAACCTCTTAGCTCCCTGCAGTACCCCTGTATGCCACGGTGCCCCCCGGTCCACCTTCGCTGCTTCCATCCAAGTTGTTTCCGGAACTCCGAAGAAGCATGGCTCGGCGTCCGTAGATCCGTGCTCTGCTTCGAACACCTTGAGGTCGTCCTTCAGGCACATTTGCCAGTTTTGCTCCGGTTTCACCCTGCCTGGGCCCTCCCCCCCATCAGTTCGCCAAGCATCACCGTTTCGGGAGTCGTCCGTCTGGCTGCCTTGCCAGCGCTCCCGCGAACAGCAGGCGCCGTTGCCGGATAGTGGTTTCCACGCTCTGGCACCCTACCCTCTCCAGGGTCTGGGCGTAGGAAAGCTGCCAGTAGGTGCCCTTCTTGCGTTGGTAACCGATAACTCGCAGGAGCAGTCGGTGGTGCATCGTCCGCAACGTCCGGTATTGGTCTTGACGTGGGGCCCATGTCATGCAGCCGTACAGCAGTGCCTCCATCGCCTCGGCCTGGAGCAGGGGAGTCTTCAGTCGGAAAGGTGCTTTCGGCCTGTCGAAGAGCTCCTGGCCATATCTCCTGACGCATGCCTACGCCGTTCTGCTCGGGGAATTGATCTCACGGGTGAGGTCGCCATGTTCGTTGACGAGGTCACCTAGGTACCGGAATTCAGGCGTCTGGGCATACCTCTGCCCTGCTGCCTCGATGATCAGCGGTGGCGGCGGGGGGAGCGGTGGTGTTGTTGTGTGCTTCTCCTTTGCGCGCATCAGGAGCGTCTCTGTCTTCTTCTCCGATACCGTCAGCCCGGACTCCCCGAACACCTCCACGATGACGGTCATCATTCTCGCCAGTCCTTCGGCAGACCTCGATGCGACGCCGGCGTCATCGGCATACAGCATCCCCCTTACCGCCCTCCGCACTCGGTCAAGTGGTGTCCTCGCCCCCGCTCCCGTCTCCTCCAGGTACACGAGGTTCTCCAGAATGACATCATCCTCGCTGAATCGTAGTACAAAGTAATAAAACGCACACGCATCGCGACCCCAACCAGAAGCAGTGGGCGATTGCAAAAAGCTACAATAGCGGAAAAGAAAAGAGAGGGGATGTTCTTACCGAAGCAGTCGTCAGGACCGCCGGCAAGAGCGCACGCCGCCTCCAGCACGGCACCAACATCCCCTCCTCCTCCTTCCTCCAGGGCGAACGTCAGCATCGCTCCTCGGCCCCATTGCACCGCCTCCGTCTCCCCCGGCCATTGCTCTCGGTGGCCTTGTCTCTCTAACCCTTCTTCTTCTTCTTCTTCTTCTTCTCCGACGTATACCGAGCACCAACAGGCCCCCATCTCGAAGAGCATGTCGCCGAGGGATCGCCACGGGACGTCGACCGCCGAGCCTTCGTAGCGCCAGGTGGTCACCACCGTGTAAGCCTTCGGCACCAGGAGAAAAGAGACGCAAACGCCGCGAGGGCATTTGTGCACGGGTGTGTTGGTAGGGCGGGGCCACTAATGTTCTTGCATGCCTTAGCGGTTGCCATTGTAGCAGGGGGGCGGGGGGGGGCGGGATACAGCCTAGTCTGTGCTTGTCAAGCCGCTCTTGTTGCGATGTGCTTCATTTCTGCCTTGGATCATGCCACTTTTCCAACCGGAAGGAAAAGTATCCCTCCCTGGAAACAAAAAAAGGTTACCTTCAACGCGGGGCCACCGTCCCCGTTTCGTTGCATGTCTTGTACCCAACCTGGATTAGCCAAACGTGTGTCTGCGTGCCAAGCGTGCCTGCCCGGCGTCGGTCTGTTACGGCAGGGTATACATACGAGTTTTCGCCCCCCACCTGCTGGTCCACGGTGGAAGACAACACCTCTTGTGAAGAGCAACGGAGAGCCCCAACGCCTCCGCCGCCACCTGCTGCACGTGGGCGGCCACAGCCACTGCCGCCGCTGCAAACACCGCCGTCGCCGGCCTGCATGGAGCATGGACGTCGAAGCCGCCGCGGAGGGCGATCGTTGTTGCGCCAACCACAGCGATTTTCACACCGTCCCGCAGCTGACGCTAGCACCGGGGGGGCGTCGCGTCGACACGCAGGAGGCGCGAGTCCTCCTCCTGCTGCTGCTGCTGCTGCTGCTGCTGTCGCTGTCGGCGGCGGCGGCGGCGGCGGGAGGAAGTGGAAGGCACTTGCGCCGCCCGGTGACAGGAGCATCGCCACGTAGGCAGAAGCCTGTCATCGCAGAGCCGCGAAAAGGTTGTGTCGGTGATGATGGTGTGTGACAGCGTAGTGTTGCTGTAGGATCGGGCTTGCTTTTCACACGGCGGTGCATGCAGTGGTCAAGCGAGAGAAGAAGGATAGAGGCCACGCCCGGCCGGGGCTGGCGGCTGGATCGAGTTCTTCGGTCCTTTGACTAAGGAAGTCCGCACATCAACATGGATCCGTGGGATAAACGTTCTGACCGTCGTTGGTCCACTTCATTGTGCTGCTGCTGCAGGTCTTCGTCTGTTCCCACCTTGTTGTGGGCTGCTGTACCGGCCGTGAATGTTGGAGCCCATGACATACACAAGCCGCGCGGCAGAACGGTACAATATCACAGGTCGACCACCTACAGCTGGATGTAGATAGCGGCACACCGCGCGCTGGGGATTTGGCGTTCACTTCCAAATTCTTACTTCAGTCTAGACGTCCACCCACACGGCGGTGACCGGTGATCTTAACCTTTGCAGCTGGAGGTCGCATTGTACGCAGCATGTGCATGCATGCGCCTACTGCCTGTAAGCAAACATATGTAGACTTTGTTAAAAAACAAACGAGGGTGTCCATGTCATCATCACTCCGCCGCTGCCTGCACAACTGCACATGATTACAACAGGCAAAGTGAAGCTGTACTCGCATGGGATTCTGCTCCTATCCCCCTGCTCGAGTGTGTATTGCTGTGTCGGTGTGAGAGGGCGTACGGCAGCAACCACTAACATGTACACCTCAGAGTCTGAAGCAGCACGGCGAAGACGCTGAACTACTGCAAGTACAGAGGGTGAGGTGCCTGTAGGAATACCGCGAAACGTCGCTATTTGTGGCGTTTGTGTGTCCGTGTACCTCCCATTAGGTGTGGCATCTGCAGTTGAGCAAGAGGGAGCAGGCGTCGTTCTTAGCTTTGGTACGTTGTTTGCTGCATGTGCAGAAAGTGCTGGTGATGTTCATGTTCCGCAACGAGCGACGAGCCGCGTATCTATGCCGTTGTGAGGCACCTTTTGGACGACAATACAACAAGCCAAATCGATGACAAACAGCAAAACATGCTTATATCTCACTTTCAAAGCCGCGGGTCGCTTGAACTCGCCCATGGCAAGGTTCTTCCTGGCTTCCTGGTTGGACTGCTCAGCTGTTACGGCTGGCTCTGCCGCGGCCTCGGAGGCGCCGTGGATCATGGAGTGTCGATTGTTTGGAGGCATTTCCCCCGCGGTCCCGCTTTCGCCGCTTCGTCGATCTCCAAGACTAAGACTGTCACGCAAGCCTCGCCCGCCCCAATCCTCCCTGTGCCGCTGCTCTCCCCTCTCCGCGATACAATCAGGTGAGGTTTTGATCAGCAGCGCGCCCGCCAGCCGGCCTGTTGTTTCCGACTCATGGTGGGAAAGCCCGGCAGCGTTTTTTTTTTCTTCGTCCTCCCGCATTTTCGGCATCTCACCCACCCAATAGTGGCAATTACATGTACTACACCCCCCGCACCTCACATGTATGTGCATCCAGTGGGCGCCACACGCATCATGTCAGCATGCGCGGATCTAGAAATGTGTAAACTCCAAAACAAACCACGGGGAGAGAACGAAGGGCACACATGTCGTGCTGGCTGGATGGCATTCTTCGCAGCACCGGTACGGCAGTTGGACATCAGAGCGTTTACCCAATCATAATGGAAACATTCGGTTGACGCCTATCGGTGCAAAGCATTGTGATGGTAGGGATTGATGCCCCGGAGTGGGGGAGTGTTCGACGTGCGCGTACACTGCCCTTCTCGTTGTTTTTTGCTTGTGTTGCACCCCATCCTAAATGGACCCGCCGGACAAAAACAAAAAGTGCAGTGTGACTTTTGCTGCTGTGCGTTTGGACATTGTTTTGGAGTCTACCTGCACACAAACGTAGGTTGTGAGCACAGAAGGCCTCGTTGTCACTTGGACGACCAAGTGTCATCTCACATGTGATGGGCAGGATCTGCGTTGTCACATGGTTACTACGGCGGGTTCCAAGACGAGCCGTAGCGAGCACTACGCTGAGAAGAGAGTCACCCAACATATGTGGTACATATTGTATGTATACATGTAGACAAATGAACAGCTATCGGTAGCGTGTGCATTAATACTTCTTCTCCGATAGTGGCAAGTGACACTTTTCACAAGTCAAGAGCGGCAATATTGCCACTATGTCGAATAGTGGCACTGCCCTGAATAGTGGCATATTCTCCTCATGCCCCTACATGCCACTATGTCGGGCCACCTACTTTATGTCTTTTCTTGTGTACGTAAAAACTGACACTCACCATCGCACGGTTAGCAACTGTCGTACGTTGTAACGTAGATTTCAATTTAATATTAGAAGCGGGAAACATCTGCAGTAACACCAACAAACGGGGGTGAACTCAAAATTCAAACAAGGGTTTTCAGGCTTCGCCGCCACGCTGAATGAAGCGAGTCACAAAGACAAATGGACAAATGGCGTTGGTGTTCTGTTTGATACTGATGTTGCGCCACCTAGTGTACTAGATAGGGCGGGGTAGTGAGTGGCGGGGTAGCCGACACAATACCTTGCAGTAGTCTATGTATCTGCGGTGCTTTTGTATGGTGTCGATCACTTCCAATTTTGAATCTGAGTCATATGCAACAACAAAAAAGGCTCCTGGAACGAACGGCCTGGCGTGTGCATACAGCAGCTCCGGAGGTGACACGAGATACCACCCGCCCTGGACCAATTTCAAAGCTCGGTTGCGCCACGCCACCAAGAGTGGCGGCGCCGATAATGGTGATGTGGGAACCGTCTCGTCGAGAGCTTTCCGATAACGTCTTGCGGGGTTTGTTTACGCACCCCGTTCGGCGTGGGGTACTCGAGCTTTAAAAATTGGTCCAGGGGGGGGTGGTATCTTGTGTCGCCTACGGTAAACGTCATACATACGTTTCGATGGTTTTTCGGTGGTTTCTCCGCACGGAGTGACGCAGCAGCAAATGTGAGGCTATCCCCAGAGAGCTTTGTGTATGCAACGTCTCGTTTGGCGCTTATAAGAGGACACGGGGCAAAAGGACCCACTGGAGTCGGCAAGAGCGTGCACGCGAGAAGAAACACTGGCCGCCAAGAAAAAGGTCTTTTTTCCCGTGGCACTGGTTTGTTTCAAGGTGACCCTTCCGTACACAACGAATAACAGCAATGACATGGCATCCGCCACGAGCTGTGTGTATGGCTGAAGTTTTCATCCGCCAGTGCTGTCTTGCCCCTCCCAGCGGTGTTACGTTTGTGGGAGATGTCCGATTTTTCCCCCCTCCACTACCTTGAAATCTCCCCGGGGATGGGGTTTTTGGGTACCATGTGCCGGTGAAGCACGACCATCTGCTGTCGGAGCACGGCCAAACCGGTGTAGTGAGAGTGCCTTATTTTATCCCTCCTCACAAGCCAGCAGATCGTCAATCGGTGCTCTATAGAACCCGTTCTGGTCGAAAAGGAGGGCATATTCAGGCGGTCGTTCATTCAAACTTGGGCCCCTGGTAGATAGAACCTGTTTTCCCCCTCCTAGGACGAAGGGAAAAGAACGATCGCGCTCCGCGGCTAATCAAAAAGCGCCTGCATGTCGTTCCACGTGCTGGTGTGGTCTTTAGTCGCCTCCCCGTCTCGGCTTTCAGTTAAATCGTTCTGCGGGCTCTGTTCGTACGGCCCTAGTAAACAACTCGACCACGTTCCTCTCACCGCAACTCGTGGCTTAATTCAATCTCTTGCTCACGTGATCATCTCGTAGGGACGGCACGACGAGGCGTTGCAAGCATCCTGAGCGCTGAACGAAGGCGCCGAGCTTCAACGTGGAGGGAAGCAAGACTGGCCTGTACTGCGCCACACAAGCGAAGGACGGCATGGTCAGGATGACCGGCGGCGTGCGATTACTGCGCCAACCCTGCAAGTACGACGTGTTCAAGATGACCGTCGGCATGCGATTTGATCTCATGCCGCCGGCGA